GGGTTCCCCCCCCCCCCCCCCCCCCCGGCCAATGATCACTTTTAGCTATCCAAGCATGATTGCCCCCTCGTTCCGCCCCGAAATCCAGCGTGATGGCCCCCTTCTTCTCCACTACTACTCTGTGTGCGTAACGTTGTTCTTTGGCAACGCGGTTGCTTCTCCAACGTAGTACTCCCTGAAACACGCTCCACAACTCAACTAACCCGTCCCGACGCTGAATCGCTTGACCCCCCACAGGCGTCCCGGTCTTTGGGGCTACTCATACACTCTCTTGGTTGTCGCCGCACGCGAAATTTACGATGAGGAGATCACCATCACCCACTATCAAAAGCGGTGCGTGGCCCTGCCATCTCGCTGTCTTTCGTAATGTCTCAGCCCTTGTGCTTCCTCCAATCACGTGCTGCGGTCCCTCTTCCTGATGCATTCGTGCCATCCATTTATTGCCACAGCCATGAGGGACACGACCACGACATCTTTGCCATTGTCAACAAGGGCTCGGACCGCTACGCCTACCCTTCGGAGGAAAGCACCAAGACGCAGGGCAGCCACGAGCTCTGCAAGCGTGTCTTCAACGCCAGCCACGTGAACGACCTGTTTCCCTGGCACTTGGAGTTTGATCGTCAACTTCGCGTCACCTCCATGGGCTCGTCCCTAGCCAGCCGCTTCCCCCAGCTTGATCTGAGCGAACCCGTCAATCTTTTCGACATTTGCAAGATCCAGCGGCCCTCGCTTTTGCGTCAGGACTTTGAGCACTTTTTGCAATACGACCGCCAATCGTTTATGCTTATCGTCAAGGATAACACCTACCTGGCCAAAAAGGAAGAAAAGCGTGAAGAGCGTCGCCGCAAGAAGATGGCGCGCGCCGAAGAGGCTGCCATCGCTGCCGCCGCCACTGCCAATAAGACCAACAACGCCACCGGGTGCCCTTTCTCGCACGGCGTGAACAACAGCGAGAGTACTGGCATGAGCCCGAGCACCATGCTTGAGCAAATTCGAGGCCTCAGCATGACCCGTTCGACATCCTCAGCTAGTAGTCTCGAAGCAGCCCGCTTCATTGCCGAAACAGTCGATTGTACGTTGTGCCTTCCGAACAAGCCGCTTGCCACGCCAATGCTGGCGATCCAGCCATCCTCTTCCAAACATCATGCGACCAATTCTGACACTGTCGTTTTCTCGGTCTCCCCACAGACTTGTACCTCAAGGGTGAACTTGTATACCACCCTGAATGCGACACCATCTTCATGGCTGGCTCGCCCCATGTACGTTGCCGCGCGTCTACCTCACGTCCTCCCATCGCGCGCTCATTCCAAGCACCTGCCTCACCAACAACACCCCTTGGGCGGTCCCTTAGGTCACCAAACCCTCAGAGATGTACCTGCGTGACATGTCCTTGGTCGACTTACCCGTGCATGCCAACGGCCGTGAGCTGCTCTTTTCCTCCATGCATCAAACAGCCACCATCAGCATCGCCCGTCAGCTCGAAGATACCATGGAGCATCTGGATGAGGCCAAGGCTGACATGAACCGCCAAAAGGCTCGCGTCGAAGAACTCCTGCATGGCATCTTACCCCCAGCCATTGCTGACCAGCTTGCGCGAGGCGTGCGCCCCGAGGCTGAGCGCTATCGCAGCGTCACCATCTTGTTCAGCGATATTGTCGGTCAGTCTGGCCAAGGGCCCGGTGTTCCATCCCGCTCACAGCCCCGGCTCGTCATTTGCCAGTGGCCGTGCACGCATGCTCATAAGTCTGATCGTCTGCTCTTCTTGTCACTTGAATCTCTTTCTCTTTCTTTCTCTCCACAGGCTTCACCAAGCTCTCCTCGTCGGTCAAACCGCAGGCCGTGATGAACATGCTTAACGAGCTCTTTTCCAAGTTTGACGCGCTCTGTGACAAGCACAACGTGTTCAAGGTTGAAACCATTGGCGATGCCTATATGGTCGTCTGTGGCCTGCCCACGCCCAACGAGCGACATCCCATTCACATGGCCCGCTTTGCCATCGACATGGCCATGGCTGCACGCAGCGTCAAGTCTCCCGTTGACGGCTCTCCTCTTCAGATTCGGTTTGTTGCTTGTTCCTATGCGTCCTGCAAGTCCAGCACCGCACGACGTTCCGAAGCAGGACACGCCAACAACTCATGCTTTGCCCCCGCCCCCGCCTTTTTTTTTTTTTTTTTCCTTCTGCTATTGAACACTTCAGAGTGGGTTTGCATAGTGGCAGCGTGATGGCTGGTGTGGTTGGCATGAAGGCCCCGCGCTACTGCCTCTTTGGTGCGTGATCAAGTATCTAGGCTGGCCGTTGCTCGACTGCTTTGGTCTTTTGGGGGCTGGTGTTCTTACCCTCTATTCTCCACGCGGCTCGCTTGCTTATTTGGACTCGTGTTTCATCTATAGGCGACGCCGTGAATACGGCCAGTCGCATGGAGTCCAACTCTGTGGCCGGTTGCATTCAAATGAGCGCCTCCACCATGAGCGAGTTGCATGCTCTTGGCGGTGGCTTCACTGTCGTGAAGCGTGGTGAACTCGAAATCAAGGGCAAAGGTGGGTCCAATGTTCACTGACCTGTCCTGTCTTTGGGCCACCTTTCCGTCCTGCTGAACCCCCATCCGTATCTCACGTATTCTCCGTCCCCGCTGTTAGGCAAGATGGAGACCTATTTCTTGACAGGCGAAGTCGAGGGCATTCCCGAGCTCACGCCCTCACCCGAGCTTCTTGCCAAGGCCAAGACGGACAGTGATGCACCCAAGGCTAACGGCAATGTCCACAGCGTAGTGAGCAGCCACCAAATGGTCGCTGCTCCCGCACAAGGCTACAACGACTTTTATGACCTGGTGGTGCGCATGGATGGTCGTTCGATGCGCTTGGTGGGCGTGGCGGGCTCCACCAAACTGAAAGATATCATGGAGTCTGTCGTGAGTCAGCACGGGTAAGTGATTTGCTCTGTGCATGACTGTGACAACGTGAATTCTTGTCTGATCTCGTCCATGCTCCTTGTGTAGCTCCGTGGATCAGCCATGGCATCTGTACGCCGACTCTGAGCACGCAGAGATGCTGGTTCTCTCGCAGACCGTGCAGCAACTCGTCAATGGCCACGTCATTGAAGTCAAGCCCGTGTTTCACGAGCGAAGCCGTCAACTTCGCTCTGTCATCTCGCTCTATGGTGGCTTTCAACGCCGCACAGAGAGCTTGCTCTAGTCACAGTTTGATTTAGCCACCCCTCCTCGTGTTTATTTGCCCCCTTCAATTTCCATTCTCCTGTTTTGAAACATAGTTTGGAGTCACTTCTCGGCGTTTCAATGCAATAGGCCGCGCGCTTTATTTGTGTGGCTGATGAGAGAAGTTGGCAGCACCTGCACCGCTTTGAGGGCATATGGCATGAAAACCCGCCATCCTTTTTCAAGCGTTTTGACTCAGCCCGCTCCGCCTCTTTGAACAACTCTTTTATTTCCTGTCGGTGGCTTTCTTGGCTTTGATTTCTTTGGCTTGCTGTCTCCCCTGTCTACTTTTAACCGATTCTTGTTCTTGCTTCGCCTATCGATTGGCTTTTTGGGCTATTTTTCCTCTTCTTCTATCAAGCACGTCATGTGTCGGAGCTGATTGTTGGTTGCGGGAAGGGGGCTCAATTACAAGTTTTAAAGGAGAGAGAAGAGAAGAATGGCATCATCAAACGCCGAGCGAGGGATGCAGGGCAAGCCCAATGCTGTCAGCACGCACGCGAAGGTTTATGATGGAACAATGCATTCCGACCTTGAATACTTATGGCAGCACATGGTGATAAAGTTGATTAGAAAAAACAAAGGTCCTCATGCCTGCTTGGCATCAGTGGCTGCATTTGCAAAAGCTCTGCGCACTGCTTTCGGATTTGCGCTATCGAAGCAGGCTCAACTTAGAATCAATGACAAGGAACGATGGTGCATTGCTTATGGAGATTGTGAAATGCCTTACCTGTAAGCCAAGTAGGCATTTTGAAGTTGCTGGCGGCGTTGCGGCGACTTAACCTCATTGAACTTGGTGCGTTCGAGCTGCTTGACAGTCTCATCGTACGCCTCCTTGTCCTTACGCTTCTGCTCTTGCGCTATGGCTCGAGCGAGCTCTTTGCGCGTCTGTACCACTTCGTCAAAGTTGAGCTCGGCTTTGATGGAACTTGGGGCCCGCACCGTCAGCATCTTGCGATCTTGACCACCTCGACTCGAATTGGTGACCTTGAGACCCATCATCTTCTTGCCTGCATTGGACACCGGAAGGATGAGCAAATGAGTGGAAGCGCCAGTCCAAAGCAAGATTTGTTTTTGTGTCAGACACTTTACCAGAAAGCCATTCAACGTAGTCGGTAGGCTCTACAATGGCACCACACTCAGCTTCCAGGGCCTCTGACGGAGATGACATGCACATGAATCAGAGTGGGCTGTGAGGGGTCACACTTAATCGTCGTCGCTGGATGGGACAGAAGATGGCAAAGAGCTCTGAACGTACCAACAAACGGGCATTGTGCATTGCGCATACCCGCCAACATGCCCGCGCCCGTGAGGAGGCCGGTGGCTTTGCTATCCTCAAGCGTCATGGCATCCTATTTGCAGATGCAGGCCGCAACCCCGCCGTGGTGAGCAAACCACGACAGCTTTATAATCTGACTTTGGTGCAAAGGAGAGGAAGGACGGTCTTACAAGGACGGGATTGTAGTGAGCTGCCAACCAAGTGGCGGCACGGGTCTCGGGGTCAACCTCATCTTGTAGCCAGACTGGTTTGATTGTGCGGGCAGGGGAGGCGGATTTGCTTTTGGGAGGGGTGCGTGTGGCAGATGCGGTCGAGCTGAGCTGTCGCCTTGTGGTGCCCCTACATATTTGCAAGGAGCACAAAAGCCGAGCGTGTCAGGCAGCCATATGTGTGCAATCTGAAGCGGTCATCATGATGCTCATTGACGAGAAACCAACTTTTCTTTGACGTTTTGTCGAAGCAAGGATGCTTCGCTCTGGGCATCTTTGAGAGATTCAACATGATGCAGAAGAACACCCCGCAGGTAGGTGAGATTACATCACAGGAGCCGTGTGGTTGCGGACGTGTACAGCCTCTTGCACGTACCCAGTGGCCCAATGGCGAGAGTGCGCGAGGTATAGGAGGCATTCTCGCTTGGGTCCCGATGCAGCGCCTTGGTATTGGCGGGCGCCGTGGCATAGGCTCCAAGACTGGTGCTGACCTGCGGTACATTTTGCCCCGCAAACTTTTGACGGCGTTGCTCCTGCTCGGCTGCAATTCGAGCCTGGAGCAGCCGCGTTTCATTGGCTGTTTTACTGATGGCGTCAGACATGGTGATCGATTGACCTGGCCTGACTTTAGGCCCTCTTCACGCTGGTATCATTCGAGGATTTCAAATCAAGGTGAATGATTCGCAATTTCTCCTGGATGGCCTTGCCGCCTCAAGAGCACCAGCACTTCGTATGCAGGCTCGCACGTTGCAATTTTTCAACAAGTACGGAGGATCTCACCGGGCCAGCGCAAGACAGAGGCTGAAATCGGAGCAGAGAGCCGGGGAAGCAGGTGGCAGACACGAAGGACAGCGAGGGGGAGGGGGGGGAGGGGGGCGGGGGCGGTCGCGGGCAGAGCGGGAAACTAAAAACAGCGTTGCGAAGGTTTTGTGCCATATTGTCTTGTTTGTTACACTTTGTTCTATAAACGCGAATGAAGTGACGATATCGGTTATTTTTGGGGTATTTTCGAGCAATTTCGCGATAATTTTCCCAACCGTTCTATAGCACTTGCCTTTCAATTTGCCGTTGGGTACGCAAAACGACTTGGCTTGACATTCCTCAAACAAAGGGACCAATGCTTCTAAAAAAAGGACCGAACAAGGCACGCGCGCTGATGACTGCCCCATCCGCCCCGCACATCGCCCCCAAGATCCGAGTTGTTCCAGTCTCAAGACAAACACCATAACTCTGATACACACACACACACACACAGAAAAAAAAAAAAAAAAAAGAAACCCATTTGTCAGACAAACGCTGTCTATCCCAACGGGTTGACGGACGAAGAGGTCAAGGGTTCGCACGGGAGGCGGTAAGGAAGGCGGCAGGCGGCAGGGGGGGGTTTGTTGGCGTCAACGGCGGGTGAGTGGGTGGGGATAGGGGTTGGGAGCAGGGAGGAGGGAGTTGGTGGAGCTGTTGATCGGTTCGATGGCGGTTCGCGTGCGCTTTGCACCCAGCCCCACAGGTCTGTGTCACCGATGGAGGAGCACGTGGGCAACCTGCAGCTACTGCGCCTCTCATCCTTGTGCGCGTGCGGCTTGACTGAACCCCCTCCCCCTCCCTCAATGATTACCGTAGGCTTTCTGCACTTGGGCGGTGTGCGCACGGCCTTGTTCAACTATCTTTTTGCGCGGTCTGTTCTGTTGGTCATGCTTGGCCTTGGCACGCAGGTTCGCGCGTTTTCTCTCACAGCATGGGTGCCTCGCTCCCTCTGCCTCATCCAGCAAACATGGTGGCAAATTTATTCTGCGCCTCGAGGACACGGACCGCACTCGGTAAAAGAAACCGCACCCCGTATCGCTTTGCATGTGCCTTGTCATTGTCAACAGTGACTCACAATTTTCTCTCGTGCGGCGCACAGGTTGCAGCCCGAGGCTGTGCAGCGTATCCAGGACGATCTGGCTTGGCTGGGCATGACCGTGGACGAAGGGCCAAGCACTCCTCTCCAGTACGAACTGTGCGCCATCTCTTAAACAAGCAATCAGGATTGGCTGGCTGCGCCAGACTTGAGCAATTGGGCTGCTATAACGCAAGACAGGCGTACACAAAAAAACAGAACATTCGCTTTCTCACTCTTTGCGTGCCATTATCCTAGGCAAGCCAATTTTCGCAACCCAGCGCACGCTGCTTATGTTCAGTCACAGCGCCTTCCTCTCTACCAAGAGGCCGCTGATGCCCTTTTGCATGAAGGGCATGCCTATCGTTGCTTCTGCAGTGCTGATCGGTGCGGTGCCCGCGCCCACGCTGCAGTGCCTACACACTTGCTTATCGTTTACCCTCCGGTAGCTCATGTGGCGCCTGGTGAGGACTCATCAATCGCAGCCTCGAGGCCCTTCGTGTGTCAGCCTATCGCCAGGGACTGCCCACAAGTTACGACCGTCTTTGCCGAAGCTTGCCCCGCGCTGAAGCCGAGGGTGAGTCGAACACGCCATGACCACCACTTCTCGTCGTTCTGCCTGTCTGCACTCCTCCCTCACCAATGCCTTCGTGCCTCCCGTTGGACCCCGCAAACTGGTTGCATTCCACCAGCTCGCGCCGCAGATGGTGTACCGCATACTATCCGGTTTGCCATGCCCACGCAGGGCGAGACGCGTTTTCAAGACCTTGTGTACGGTGACCTGGCCTTTCGCAACGAGCAAATTGACGATCAGGTCCTGATCAAATCGGACGGCTTCCCCACGTATCATCTTGCCAACGTCGTTGATGACTACGATATGCGCATTTCACACGTCCTCCGGGGCGAGGAATGGCTCTCCTCAACAGCCAAACACGTCAATCTCTACCACGCTCTGGGCTTTGAGCCACCCGCCTTTGTACACCTCCCACTCCTCATCAACCCCGACCGCACCAAGCTCTCCAAGCGGTCTGTCTCTCGTTTCGAGCCCATTCCCGGAGTTGCGAGTGTTCCTCTGCTTCATTCACTTGCTTTTGCTTCGTCTTCACGTGGCTATGCTTCGTCTTCACGTGGCTAACCCACATCGTCTTCTCTTGTCACGCTCTCATTTTTTGTTCATTCTGCACGGGCGTACAGCAAGGGCTCGCTGTTTGTGTCGCAAATTCAGGACATGGGCATCTTGCCTTCGGCCCTCAACAACTTTGTCATGCTGCTGGGCTGGTCGGCAAGTGAGGAGCACGCTGAAGCCACCAACCATGCTGATTATCTGACCATGGAGGCCTTGACAGAGGTGTTTGACATTGGCCAGCTCAACAAGTCGGCTGCCGTTGTGGCGATGGAGCGTCTCCATTACATCAACAAGCGTCACCTCCACTTGGTTGAGCCCCAGGGCGCCCAATTTGATCTCATCTTAGACTACGCACGCCAGCGCCTTGAGCGACAGCCCTGGTTCAACTCGGACAACACGCCGACTCATCGTCTAGCTCACCTTGTAGCTCAGCTCAAGCCATCCTTTGATTCGGTGGATGACTTGGTGGCTGGCCTTGAATTCTTTTTTGTTCGACCGCCGGCACCCACACTGGCCGAGGCTCCGTTTCGTGGCATTACCGCCATGACTGCACAGTTGCGAGAATTGCCTGACTGGCAGCCTGAGGCCATCAAGGGGGCCTGCTTACATGCCCTAGAAGAAGCCAAGTACGTTGCTTTTGAAGCATGAACACGTGGGACCCAGCTGCACGCGTCAAGCCATAGTTTGTTGCTGTCCTATTTGCATGGCAAAATAAGGTTGTCACTGGCTTATTCAAGTGCATGCGTGTGCGTCGATGCTCGTTCCCGTTTAGGGTGGGTCGCAAAAAAGCATTCCCTGCCTTGCGGCAAGTGCTGGTCAATGGGCAACACGGGCCCCCGTTGTATCCAACTATGGCGCTTCTCGGTCGGGATGAGAGCCTGGCTCGGCTTGAGCAGGCTCAGCAAGGCGATGCCTGAAGCAAGCGTCTGCGTCGCCTTTAGAAGTTTATTGGGCGGATGTGTGCAGGGCTGGTTGTGGCAACTTTATATGAATTAGATTTTACAAAAGAGCGCCAGGTTACTATTCAAAGAAAAAAATGTCCTTGTGTGTGCGGTGTGGCGCCATGGCTGCTGTTAGGGCTTCTTCGAAGTCAGCCAGGCGGTGCTTGCGTACCGGCTGCCGACAGTGAGACGAATAAGATGCGATAGTCAAGCACGCAGGCCCTGGCCATGTCTGCGTCACCGGTGGAAATGCAGCAATGCAGCACTGCATTCCCGGTGCAGAGAGGTGGGCGGGGGCGAAGGGGGGGGGGGGGTGTCAAACGTACAATGTCGAGCTGTTGGGTTCGGAAAAGTTGCTGTACGTCGCGAATCATTTGGCGCTTCTCGTCCAAGGTGTGTTCCTACAACCGGCGGATGAGTGAGACTTGAATACGTGCCGAGCGCTCGTGTTGGCCAGACTATGGTGCACACCTCGTTCCAGCGCGTCATCCAGTAGCCAAAAAGTCGCAGATCTTCAAAAATCATTTTGGCCTGCAGTCACGGGCCGACAAGTTGGTTCATGTGCACACCTGTCAAACCGGCCGTTGTCAACTAGCGATAGAGTTCTTTTATGGTAATGTACCGTGGAGAGTTGAGTTGGGCGTAGAGACATGCCACCGTAGGTCACCAGGCTGGCCCGCTGCCCCACGAGGCGCGTCAAATTGGTCGCGCTTTTTCCACCGACGCAGTTGAGTGCGAGATGCACGGGCCTGTCCAACTGTGCTCGGAGCTGGCGGAGGCCTTCCCGGGTCTCTAGATCTTCTTCAAAAGCTAGCACATCAGCACCAAGGCTTCGCAGCTCGCTCACAGTGCCCTCCAAGTCGGGGCGTTCACGGCGCAAAACATTTACGGATGTGACACCCATTGACTTGGCGATCTGAATGACGGCACGACCAACCGCTGACGTGGCGCCGTTCTGAAGTACAATGTCACCTACAGCATGTCCCGGGGCCGATGGCCGAGATCGGAATTGGCCCACGTCAGACATGTGAGGCTGAGCTGTAGCGGGTAGATGGGCGGTCCTGGACACGGCGGTGGCAGTCTGCATCGCCTCAACAAGGAAAGCACATTACCAGGCTGAAGTTGCACAAAGTCATGAAGCATGCGGTAGGCCGTACAGGCCGAGACCATCATGCAGCTGGCATGCTCCACGGAGGTATCATCATCCAAAACCAGCACTTGGTCTTGCCCGGCGAGTACAAACTCCGACCAAGTGCCTTGGTGGGTGAGCCAGAATGAATGAGAATAAAGCCAGCCGCCGCGCGGTTCGCTGGCTGACCGAAGCAAGGACTGACCCATCTGACTGGTGCCAAAGACCACGCGCTGACCTACGCGAGCCACGGCTGGATCCACATTGGGGCCTGCCTCGACAATTTCACCGACACCTTCGTTTCCGCCAACGGCAGGAAGAGGGGGCTGGGATGCATACCGCCCTTGCACTTGGTTGATGTCAGCCGGGTTGATGGCAGCGGCCAGCATGCGCACGCGCACCTGGTCACGTCCCAAAGGGGCCTCTGCTGCTTCTTCAAACCTCAGCTGAGTCACTGGGTCTCCAAATTCGGCGTAGGAGAGCCGCTGGTATCCACGGTGCTGAATACTCGAGAGAGCCGCGCCCCGCGCCCAATGCGGAGCCTGAACCAGGAGGCGCCTCAAAGCCATGATCAATCAAACTTGTTATGCACGAAACCACGGTACAAGCCAGCGCTCTCAACCAAGTCAGTTGCCTAAACACGCCACGAAGGGCGGTGAGCCAGAGGAAGGAGAAGTTGAGGCAGAAGAGGGAGAAGAGGGAGAGGAGACTAGCAAGGGACATTTCAAGGTGACGGAAGCCAGTGTGTCAACGCAGGGACCGAGGTAGCGGAAGCCAGTGTGTCAACGCAGGGGAGCGAGGTGGCGGAAGCCAGTGTGTCAACGCAGGGAGCGAGGTGGCGGAAGCCAGTGTGTCAACGCAGGGAGCGAGGTGGCGGAAGCCAGTGTGTCAACGCAGGGGACCGAAGTAGCGGGAGCCAGTGTGTCAACGCAGGGAGCGCCAGCGCGCATCTTGCTCGCAAACCTGATTTGTTAAAAATATCTGACAATACAATAACGTTACAAACTCCTTCAGGAACTTTGCTATCATATGTGGTATAATAGTTAATACCACTGCAAAAGCTTTATATTTTGCTACAATTATTCACTTTGACACGAAAAGGATGACAATATTGTCAGATAATGTGTGTCGCGCGCGGAGACACTTTTTCACCTGTTCATCGAGACAACTTCGGTCACGTACCAAGTGTCATCCCTTATGGTTTGACCGTTGAGATTCGTTCTTCCGTTACAATTTCCGTTGCATTTTCCTTCTCCTCAACGGTGAGTCCCCACCCTTCCTCATTCCTCGCATGCGCTGCCATTTATTGATGCGTGAACCATCTCACCTTGCCTTTCTTTTCTTTGCGTGCAGCCATTATGGCGACTCCTTCTCCGGTGTCTTGTGCAATCTGCAACATGCTTGTCTCGGATTCCAATGAGCAACGCCATGTTCAAACGCACCATTCCACTCCACCCGATCTCCGCCGCCCTTCCGAGTGCTTTCCTTCTCTGAACTGGATTGACTGTCCTGCGCCAGGATGTGTGTGCTCAATGCGCAAGGGCGATCCGCTGATGGCGCACTACATTGAAAGCCATCCTGTACATGCCAACGAAAATTTGACCACCTTTTTTCCCAGCGCTGTTTGCTGCGACTGCGGCCACTGGTCCTTTAATCGCGTCTGCGCCAAAAGGCATCGCTCTATGAAGCATCGTGATGCAATAACGCATCCCCCCAAGGTCAGCTCCCGCGTCTTCGTGCTCGGACATGCACTACGCACAGTGCAATTGATCCTTTGGCAGGCCTGCCTCATGGAACAAATCCCGAACAAGTC